AGGATTTCATACTTTTTAAATTTATATATTCATTTGAATAACGCAGAAGACAAGATAAACGCTTTCTGATTTTCTAATGCATAAAGGATAAATCTAGTAGGTACAGTATATATGAATTGGTTGGACATTTAGTGAGAGTGTCTCAAATACCTCTCATTAGTTCACTTTGATGGCCTTGATGAACACAATACATACACAATGTCTAAAAGTATAATTACCTTAGTTTCAAGTAATATAGTCAGTACATTTCGTGTGTTATAATTTGCTGTGACCATTCCATTTATTTAGAGGGGAGAAAGCATCATCCGGATGGGCAGTAGCATATGAAAATAAATGTCTCATATGATGAAATAAAATTGTATATTTTCCAAAAAATTATCAAACAGATTAATTGAAAAGCAGGTACTAAATAAAAAAAAATCTACGATACTATTACTAGAACCCCGAAAAAATAGGTAATGATAATATCAAATATTTTTTTAAAGACAAAAAAACTAACACCATGCTGATATACATATTTTAAATTTGTGCAAAATATTATTTCTGTTCACATTGACAGCCAAACCTACAGTAACCAGACACATTCTATTCAAATTCTATTGTACATATCACTGAAAAAAAGATAATTTTAGAGGATACACCCTGAGGTTTAGATTTCACAAGAAAACAATATACAATTTATATGTATTAAATGCTACTTTGCATGCAGTCAACTCTCAGCAAGTAATTAAAAAAATAAATGGATAAAGTATTTTTTTTAGTACCAAGTAAGTACCTGAACACAGAAAATCTCTTCTATATTGTGTGGTAGTGATATTTAGGTTTTCTGATTTTGACTTGCCTGAGAGACAGCCGAGTGGAATGTTCACCCACCTTAGAACTGAAACTCTGCAGTACTAGTTTAAAATGAACGGTTAACTACCGGGGTATGCATTTTTAGCTGGCATGTTAATTCAAAGGCAGAAGAACTGTCTTAAATTTTTCAAGATTCAAGATGCAGTTGTAAATGCACTTCTATTTTTGTAACATGATTGCTGCCACTTAGATTAAATTAAATTGAGGGAGATTCACGCTATATTAAAGATTATATGTCATTTTCTTTATACTGTCATTAATATGGGTTCGTGTCATTTGAGGATACCGAAAATAAACAAAAATTGGGGTTGCACACTATACAATTTTACACGACACAAAAGTTCAAAATGTCATGGGGAAAGATTAAATTTGACATTTTATCACTACTTTCCATGAATATATATGAATCCAAATATTGACATTTAATTTAGTAATTGTTTTCTACTAAATACAATAGGAAGTTATCTCCCATAATGCACTGCATAAACGAGGAGTAACATGCTCATCAGCAGTGCAAAATTTTAAATTTTAAACATTTTCCAATTTTTAACTTTTTCACCACCTGTTCTCTCTTTTCATCACAAATTCATAAAATGGTCCTATTTATAGTCTGCACACTCCTTCAGAAGATTGAGGCAAAAATAGCCAAATTGTTTGAATAAATACGGAAAATTGACTGAAATTTTGTCTGTTGGCTCCAAAATTAGAGCTCATTTTCAGAAATATTGAAAAATACAACTGTATGAGAAAAAAAAGGGCAGAAAAATTCCCTGAGAAAGTCTGGTTGTGGTTAAAACAAATAACTATGACTTTGTTGCAAACTTTCAAAATGTTCCTTATTCAAGGTAAACTACATATTCACATATCACAACATTCAATCGTCATTTCCTAGATTAACAACATCACACTTTCCACATCAACACTATCGCATACATGTATGGGACACAAATAGAATTCAGTATGAATCTCGTAAAAACATATTTGCTGGCATTTTGAGACTTTTACGTCAGTCTAAATTATTACTACCAGGAAAAAAATTGTATATATAAAATAAAGTTATCACGAGAATAGAGAATACCGCACTTAGGCGGTACAGGATCACGTTGACATCTGCTAATGATCACCATTAATAACTGCCTTCATGCATACATTCTCGAAATCCCATATTCCCGGGCATTTATCTGAAATATCCATTATAGCAAGTACATTCTAAGGTACTCAAGGTATTCTAAACTCAAAGTCTAAATAGCGTTCTCACCAGACACGAGACATTTGCCTTTAGGTTTATTATTTTGTCTTGGGTTTATTACTCTTGAGACAATTTGCCTCACAAAAATGAAAATTACAATCAACTCATTTGAGCGTTATACTGTACATGTATTTGTCCCTGACTTAATTTTTATGTATTTTTCTATATTTTCTTTTTTGATATTTTTGGACAGAATGGACATAATTTCCAATCGGCTACAAGTTATCGTTGGAACCCACACATGTTTTAGTTTATGTTAGAACTTTACGATTACATCATTGCTACATTTAGCTACATTGTTAATAGCATTCAGCCAATCGCATGGTTTACCGTTCACATTTGTTAATGTTACAATCTGTCAATTTTGCTGGTTGTGCCACCATCTTATTATCTCTGGTGTGTCCAAAATAAACTAATTCTTATGATTGAGTGATATTCCTGAATCGACCATAGACTCCTAAATAGATTGTGGCTATCCCCACACAAGTCTTGATCAAAATTTGGAAAAAATTAAAATAAAAAAAATTAAACAATTTGTGATGGTGACTTTGGCACCTAAATAGTAAAACAAGCAGTTTTACAACAGACAATTTATGAACATGGATTTTTTACCAAAAATTAAAAAAATATTCACTAAAATTCGAGAATTAAAGATATCATCATGAAATGAACAAATCTGAGAGCGGTCCACATGTAGTACCTTTAAAGGTAATATCAAAGCAATTGGACTTGCGTTTTTTATCAAGAAATTGAAAATATCACTTTTTACCAAAAATGACAAAAATATTCACCAAAATTAGAGAATTGAAGATATCATTACAAAATGAACAAATCTAAGAGAGGTCAACATGTAGTACCTATATATGTAATATCAAAGAAATTGGACTTGCGGTTTTTAACAAGAAGTCGAAAATATCACTTTTTACCAAAAATGACAAAAATATTCACCAAAATTAGAGAATTAAAGACATCATTACAAAATGAACAAATCTGAGAGAGGTCCACATGTAGTACCTATATATGTAATATCAAAGAAATTGGACTTGCGGTTTTTAAAAGAAGTCGAAAATATCACTTTTTACCAAAAATATTCACCAAAATTAGAGAATTGAAGATATCATCATGAAATGAACAAATCTGAGAGAGGTCCACCCAAGGTACATATACACCAAGTATCGAAGCATTCAGGCTTGTAGTTTTATAGAAGAAGTTGAAAAAGTAAAACATTGACACGGACGACGACGACGAACAATCACTCATATGATAAGCTCCGCTCGACAAAGTCAACAGCCGACCAAAAAAATAGTGAGCAGTTAAATTCAAGGCATTCAAAGTGTTAAAATTTCTATTGAACACATTTTCAGTCAAAATTCACAAATACTGGGTAGTATTAATATTGGATTTCAGTGCCTTTTGAAGGTTATTTTATTTACGTGTGAATCAAGGTACAGACACTCAAGATTCTTGTCATGTGTCAGACAAGATTTGATCGTATCTATTCTAATTTTTTTTTTTCCTGGAAACAAAAAAAAGTGCATGATCCTGTTTGTCACACTGATAAATTAAAGGAAATTGGCGAGGATAAAGAGTAAACTAAATTATATTATAGGTAATCTAATCTAAAGTAGCTCAGACACATGAACCCATGAGAATAAAGTATTTTAATAATACAAAAATATTCTGCCAATAATATTCTTACACATAATCTATGGCTAATGCAAAATGTTATTTCTGTCAAACCAAATTTTCATTAAATGACGTTGGTCGTCACGCCATGCATGTGTGAAATTTGTGTTTATAAACATTGTTTTACCCACAATCCAATGCATTCAGCTCAACCGGGTTAGCACGAAGGAGAGTTTTGATCTGGGATTATTCTTGGAATATTCGTCAATTATTATTTTTATTGTTATTTTTTTTTTATTTATTTTTGGGTTTTACTTGCCGTTATTAAGTTCAGATTTCAACCAGATTTTCATCATCCCATCCCTTCTTGGGCGTTTTCAGGGAGCATGTTTTTTTTTAATCGGAATATTGGTTGACCTCCATTTTGGGGTTTTATATATAGTAGTTATTAATATATATTATTACAATTACAAATATTTTTACAATGTTGAAGCATGAATACAAGACAGAATTTGATAAGTGGAAAAACAGTCAACATACAAGCTGCTTTCTGATTGGTTCGACTGTTGGGAGTTAGGAAAGAGTATTCTTTATTTACAAGAAAGAAAAAAAAGAAAAAGTAAATATCCAAAGAATACAAACTTAAATTCCAAATACAATCGAAAACTCAAAAACAAAAATAAACCATATTTTAAAATTAACAAGTCATTGAAAATGACACAGTCCCCGTTAAGTTCTTTTTGTGCTCGTCATATTAAAGCGGAGGGGTTGTCGCGAGCGTGTCCTTGAAACAACGAAACAACAAAGCATGTCCAAAATACAACATTTGCAAAAAACAAGATGGCTGCCAGTCGGCCATTTTGAATCGAATCGCTAAACCACTGCATGTGCATATGTCCCACATAAAGTACTAGGCACATACAAAGAATGAACAGAATCGGTCCAAGGGATTCTGAGATATGACTCTGGACGGACGGACGGACGGACGCATGGACGCACGGAGACCGAATT